CCCGCGCGCGCCCCGGGGCAGGCGGCCCGTGCTCCCGCCGCCCTCGACACTCACCCACGTTCGGGTCCTTGGCCAGCTCCTCATACGAGCCGTAGGCCTTGGGGATGTCGTGTTTCCGTGCAAACTCCTTGGCCCGGCTCAGGTCGCGGGCTGCCACGGCCACCACCTGCAGGGGCCCTACAGTCAGGCTTGAGGGGCCGGGTGGGCATGGGAGGCAGGTGGATGGGGGCCCCGGGGTAGGGAGAGGAATAAGGGTCCAGGGGGAGGGTGTGAACAGAGGCGGGACACCTGGGCTCCAGGAAAGCGAGAACTGCGAAAAGCGGTTCTTCAGTCCCTTAATAGCGAGGTGGTTTTCTCTTCACAGAAGCTCAGGTCAGGGCCCTCCCCAACCGCAAGGATCTCAGTTTACCGGACAAGGGTGGAAGAGGAGGGAGCAGGGAGACCCACGGTGTTTTACTGTCTGGGGGATTCAAAAGTCCGCAGCCCTACATTCACCCCTCCCTTAGACCCGGGGTTCCACCTCCACCTGCCCCATCGCTTCCCCGGGGACTCAGGAAGGAGGGCGGACCTGGTGCTCAGAGCGAGGCAGCGTCCGCAGCACGGTCGTGAAGTCGCCGGAGATAAGGCCAACTGATACGATGCCCCAGCGGAGAGCCATGGCTCCAACCCCGATTCCGCAGGTCTCACTGGGCGGCGGGAGCTAGTTAAAGATAGACGCCCCGCCCAGTCGGGGGCGTGGTATAACGCTCCGCCCCCATTGGTTTAGGCTTTTCGTGACCTCCGGGGCTCAAAAAACCAAAATGGTATGAGGTCATTTAATTCTTCTGTGCCGATTGGAGGAGCGCAGTGTAGCTCTCCACCACGTGGCGTGTGACGTAAGGAGCAGAGAACACCAGCCTTAGAGTGGAAGATGTACTATCCTAGCCTTGGGCTTTTTTGGGGTCCTGGCTGTTTTCTAACTTACCTGAACTCTTTTGCTCCGAAAGCAACGCACGTTAAGGAGTTGTCCAGAGGGAGTAATAGCAAAGATAGAAATAGTTACATACTGGGGCTTGCAGGTGGCAGGTGGTTAAGGTGCCGGACTCCCACATGGTCAAGCAAGGTTCGAGTCTGACCTGGTGGCTTGCTTCCTCACTTTTCCTCTCTCTTTGTAGTCAAAAAATTTTAAATTAATTAATAAAATGAATAATTGTTAAGAAATTAGTTACTGGGGCCACAGGTGGTGTGGTGGTTAAGGCGCTGGACTTCTGCGTGGCTGACTGCAGTTCGAGTCTAGAACCTGGCCGCTTGCTTTCTCATACTCTCTCTCTCTCTTGTTCTCTTTCTCTCTCTGGTGAGCACGTCTATGGTAAATTAAATAAGAAATAAAATTAAATAAATTCTTTTTAAAAAGTAAATGATTACTGTACTAATGCTTATGGAGCACCTGGCGTAGGGAGGGCCCCAGCTTTCCCCCGGTAGTTGACTCATCCAGAATTACTCACCGCAGACCTGAGAACTAGATTCTATTGCCCAGTTATGGTTCTTTTATTATTATTTTTTAACAATTATTTTATTTAACTTTATTTTTATTTGCCCAGAGAGGGACACAGACAGAAAAAAAGCAAAAAGCAACCCACCAAGTCCAGGACTTGAGCCATAGTCAGCCATGTAGGAGTCCAGCGCCCTTAACCACCATGCCACCTGCTAGCCCTGTCTATTGCCCCAGTTTACACAGGATGAAACTGAGAGCCAGAGAGCCCGGGGCTTTTTTCTGCAGATCTCACAGCCAGGACGCAATGACCTGCAAAATGGCTGCTCCGGAGGACTCTCTTTTGTAATAGGAACCAGCCTATCCTGCTTTCTAAGAGCGCTGGAGTAGGTGACAGGTTCAGTCCCATCTTCCTCCCCTCTTGGCTGCACTGCTACCTCTCTGGGCCTCACTTTTCCGTTCACCATAATATCCACCTCCGTGAGGCTGTTAGGAGCATTCACCAAACCATGTGAGTAAAATACGGGAAATTAGGATTCCCAAGTGGCCGGCCAGCCTCCCTACAGAGGGTATTAGTCCACTTCCCTGACCTTGTAGACACTGAGTAAGATGTCAGTGTCACCAGGAGAACCAGGGACGTGTACACAAACTGCTGAATAAAGCCTGAATGTGAGGAGCCGACAGGTGGTGTGGTGGTTAAGGTGGCTGGACTCCCACGTGCTGACTGCGGTTTGAGTTCTGGACCTGGCAGCGTGTTTTCTCACTTGCCTTCTCTGTCTCTCTCCCCTGGGGGGATGATTTCTCACTTTCTGTCTCTGTTTCTCTCTTATCTTTCTTGCAAGTGGAGGCACCCTATAGCAAGAATCTCTCCAAAAAAGAAAATACCAGTGCTTTGGATAGTTGTCACAGAGAAATTTTTTTCTTTTTTTTTAAAGAATCATTTCATTTAACTTTATCTATTTATTTAAATTTTACCAGAGAGGGACAGTGAGAGAGAGAGAGAGAAAGTGAGAAAGCAAGGCGCCAGGTTTGACTCCAACCATGGTCGGCCATGTGGGA